CTGCATATTAAGGATCTAAAAAACAGCTGCAACTGCTGGCAGGAAATCCAGGTCCCTCTCCTCTCAGGATACACTGTATTCATTGCCATATGCACCAATGGTGACCATTCAACTTGGGATTCATTGACCACTCTGATGAACCCCTCGTTGGAGAACAAAAACTGTAAGGCAGGGTAAGTGAAACCCTGGGCTACACAGAGGCCAAGCTAGAGGCTCTTAGGGTGGCAATAGGCTGTTCACACATTCTACTAGGCTCAGAATTCCTGGGCAGGGGTCATTTGCCCTGGAGGGTGGTGCCCATGTGTGTGCGTGCTGTGTATCTGAAAGAATAAAGGCTCCATGAGCATAGCCATTACCACTCCCCTTGCCCATTTTCATGCTGGCAGTGTGAAGTGTACCACTTCTAGATGCTTTAATGTCCATATTTCTTTGATCTGAAACCAAATCTCAAACAGGCTCACATTCAGTAAGCAAAGCTGAAGATGCCCTATCTCCCAGGAAGAGCTAAGTCATGGGGGCAGCATAGGCTAAACATCCAGAGAAATCAAGTCTTTGGTAAGGATAGGAGAGGGTGGACCTTCTCTGATAAGTTAGAGTAGATTAGTGCTCCTTAAATTTGTCCATGCACAAGACTCCCCTGGGTACCTTGTTAAAATGCAGGTTCTAATTCAGAAGTTGTGAAATGTCTAAATCTACATTTCCAACAAACTCCCACAGCATGTTCATGCTGACAGTCCAAGAATTATTTTTGAATAGCAAGGGTCTAAATATCAACTAAAAGCCCTACAGTGGTACAAATGATTAAACAATCGATGACTACCTGAAGAGTTAGTGGTTTGAATACCACCAGGAGTGACTCAGAATACAGTGCTGGTGGTCTACTTCCAAAAATGAACTATTGAAAACCTGACTCTGACACACATGGGTCACCAGGAGCCAATTTATTTTAACTTCATGGCAACTAACAACAACCACTTATCAATCAGAGACCCTGACTGGTGAAAATGATTAAGTGCTTTGCTGCTAACGTTTGAGTCCACTCAAAAGCACCTTGGAATAAAGGCCTGGAAATTCACTTCCAAAAATCCACCATTGAAAATCCTATGGAGCACAGTTCTACTATGATACACATGGGGTCACCATGAGTTGGAACTGACTCAACGGAAACCAGTTTAACAATAGCCACTCTCACCACCATCTCTCACTTGTCGGTGTATTTGTACCAACAATCATTATAATCACCATTTAGAGAAGGCAATCCAATCAAGATTTTTGCGTCTAATGTTTAGTCTTAGGATATAACTTGAAAAGGGAGGTGGGAGGCTGCTCTTACTCAATGTTAATGACAACATATCCAAGCATTAACTGAATGCAACAACAATAAAAAAAATTCACTGCCATCGAGTTGATTCCAACTCATAGTATGGAGTAGAATTGTCCCTGTGGGTTTCTGAAGCTATAAATTTTTACCAGAGCACCAAGCTTCATCTTTCTCCCTTAGAGTGCTTGGGGAGTTCAAACTACTTACTTTTCAATTAGCAGCAAAACATACAACCCATTACACCACCAGGGCCCCTTACTAACTGACCATAACGAATGACTCTTAGGGCAATAAATTGCCACTCAAACATTTGTCAGCATGTGCAAGCCTCTGACTTCAGTCCCTTGTGATCATGCAATGACTCTCTTTGTTCCTATGTAATGCTGAAAGACTCTGCTTTGGGGAAAGAGCATGTCTTCTACACGCACACACGACCAATGTGTGAACCTTCTTTTGAAGGAGAAAATGGGAGCAGTGGGTAAACGTGTATGAAAAAAAGAAGGCTTGGTAATAGAGAAGCAGAAAGGGGAGAGAAGGAAAGACCGATGTGTAGAGACTTCCAGCAAGATGGTAGACTGTAGACAGATAGGCTACTTAAACCCTTCACAGCAAAGACAGGAAAGAGCAAATGAAGCCGGTACAAATAGTGATGTTGGAACACTGTGCTTCACAGCAAAGGAGAGAGAAGTAGACTGAATAACAAGTAGGAGGAAAACAAAAGCAGTGAATGATGAGATTAAACACAGTGAGGCAGCCACTTTGAACTTTTACAAAAGCATTCGATGAGGACAGGAGCCTATAATCCACTCCACTAAACCAAGACAATACAAATGCCCATGCCAGTGGCTGGCAACCAGAAGGTACAATCTTCCCCTTGTTCTTCACACCCTCCTGCTGGTCAGAAGTGTGGCCAGCATCACTCTTACCTATCCAGCAGCAAGTGACAACTCCCTCTGTGCAGTGTCTGCTCCATCTGAAGTTGGAGGCATGGCCTCATCGATCTAATGTCTAGTGCTATGGTATAACTTGAAAGGGGAAGTGGTGCATGCTATTATTCACTGTTCTCTCCATATGTACATTCACCATTAAGACATAGTAATCCCCAGGCTTGGTTACGTCCAGGGACAGAGCAAAAGAGAAAGACCTCAACAAGATGGATTGACACCATGGCCGCAACAATGGGCTTGAACATGAAAACAATTTTAACGCAGGATCAGGCAGTATTTCACTCTATTGTACATAAGGTTCCTATGCATCGAAACCAACTCCACAGCACTTAACAATAGCCATACAAATCCCCATGATGAGCTCTAGCAGAATGCAGTCACCTCCATGAAATGATCGATTGAAAGAAAGTTTCTTCAGGGATGTGGTCTGCTTCAAATATAAGTGGATCTGTAGAAAAGCTTGCTTATTTTTTGCTGGGTGCCGATCCTGCATCTCATTTCCTGTTCTTTGGATTTCAACCCTCAGTCTACTGTTTGTCTGCTGAACCTGGGAGTCATCAACAGTCTGCACTTTACCTGCCCACCATGGATTCATTCACCTGGGTCCAGAAGCCTGCTCTCTGACCTGCCGATCTTGATTTTATCAACTCTGCAGCTCTTCACCACAATAAACACACACATCACAAAAGAATCAAAATCAACACCTTAACCCCAAATCTACAATAATCAGAAAAAGAGCAACAAAATACGTCTCTAATCCCATGGAAATAAATAATAAAAATTAGAGAAGCAGAATAATAAATGAAGTGGAAACAGAAAGAATCAATAAGGCTAGAAGTTGGCTCTTTGAAAAGATTAATAAAAGCAGCAAACAACTGAGAAATTAACAAAAGAAGACACACATGGATATGAAAATAAATGGCTGACATCACAACAGATCCAAATGAAATAAAAAGGATAATAAACACCACTCTGAAGACTAGTACTCCAATAAATTTGAAAACCTGGACAAAATGGACTAATTTCTAGACACAAACGACCTACCTAAACAAACATGGACTGAAGGGGAAAATCTGCACATGGCCCTAACGAAGAGAACAATGAACAAAGTCACCCAGACCCCCAGCAACAACCACGGCCACTGAGGCCAGAGAGCTTCGCTGGCATGTCCTATCGAGCAAGCAGAGAAGAGCTGACAGTGCTATTCGAACGATCCCAGACTACAGGAAAACAGGAAATAGTCCCAAACTCATTTTTCTTCATTTATAAAAAGCTATTATCATAAAAAATTTTCCACTAGAGATTGAATGTCTGATAAATTGGAACCAGATTACTGAATCACATTTAGTTCCCATGGTCTTTTGCAACCTCTAGTATCTATTAAGGATTATCATTCACAGTTCTTCATTTCCAAGTCATCTCCCTCCACTTGAGAGTCTGCCAGTTCACAGCAACAGAGAGGCCTGTGGCCCGGAGAGGAGGCACAGCACTGCCTGCAGATGAATTTTACAGGAAAAACTGAGATAGAGGTAGGGCCTGTGTCAGGGCACACAGCAGAACAGGACATCGGCCAAGTAAGACCTAGTGATCTGCTCTCCCAGCCAATGAGAGAGCACCTCAGAGGAGGGTGGGGTCACATACCCTCATTCATTCCATAAGCTATTGGCTTTGTCTTCATTATCTTTTATAGGTAAAACCATCTGTTGCTTGGCAACCAGGTTTATATTCTAACCTACACTGAATCTTTAGAATAATGGACGGAGCCTCTGGAATTAAAGAAAAAAGGAAAAGAGAGAAATGAGGAGAAGGCAGGAAGAGAAAGAACAAAGGGAAGCGAAATTATGCTTCCTTGACTTCAAGTTGCAGCAGATATCAAGACTCGATAGTCAGTATCATGAACCATCTCGCCCCTCTCAAACTTCCAACACCTCAGATCTACCACAGCATCAGACTTTGAGGAAAATTGGAATAAGAAAGGGGATAAAACAACATTACTTTTTTTTCTTCTGTCAGATGAGCATTTCTAAAAACAATTTTCCCAAGCTCCAGAAAGAACATCAAAACTAAAAGCATCACTTAGAGGTTGAGAATCGACCATGTCACTAATACTTTCTGTTCTGTTATCAGTAAAGAAAGCAGATTTGCCTCTGCCACACTGATTCTGGAATGTTTGAACCCAAATATGGCAGAGTATCACTGGTCACTACTCATTGTGGGGCCTTTTGGCCAAAACAGGTAACCACTCACCTGAGAAAACAAGACGGTTTGGTAACGAAAACTCTCACCCCACTCCAGTTAGCCTAGGATTGAACTCTATCCTTCTGCTTCCTGGCTGGATGCACTTGGAATAGCTACTTAGCCCATTGTCCATTTACTCACTTGTAAAAGTGAGGAATAATCATATCAATTCCACAGGGCTATTCTGAAGATAACAGTCTATGCCCTTGGATCCTAAAAGAAAGGGCAGAGCCCAGCCAGGGGTGCCTCAGAAGAAAGACCTGATATCTACTTCTGAAAACTCAGCTATTGAAAGCCTTACCAAGCACAGTTCCACTCTGACACACACAGGGTTGCCATGAGCCAGAGTTAATTCAGTGACAACTGCTTTGCTTTGTTTTGCATTGTGAAAGGTGGAATGAGTTAGTGGACGGCGGCCAGTGCCGGGGAGCACCTGGCCTTCACAGAGTAAGCTCACAGTATACGTTAGCAGAGCATCCTCTCCGTCATCTTACCTTCTCTCGCTGAATGGCCTTCATTTTTTGGATATCAGCTTCCTCAGCTGCCTTCTTCAGTCTTACAGATTCTTCCCTTTTTAGCTAATTGCATTGAGATTACAGAGGACAAAAGCCAGTTACCATTTTTCAGTCTGAACCTCTGGGATTCAAAATTACGATGAAAGGCAAATTATAGTAGTTTGTGCTATACCTCACCATGATTATAGGTTTTTACTTCAAGCCATTAAGGTCCTAGAGAACACCTAGGTTACATACATCTCTTTGTCCATAAAATGTTCTCTGCTTTGCTTTCTCTTTATCTCGGAGTGAGTGTCTCTTTATCTCTCTCTTTCTCTCTGCCAAGCTCCCTTTATCCCAGTCAGCAGAGGGGTAAGGGGTGGATAATTTTTTTTCTGATTATAAAAATGTTTACAAATGCTCCTGATTTGTAAAAAGAAACAATCACCGAGCATCTTAATTATTTATTGAATACTTCCATGACTGTCATGGGGTAAGCAATACACTACACATGCTTGGAACTAAACTACTCAGGACTGAGTCAGGAATGGACTACAGGCAGCACGAAAGGAGAAGAAAGCACTTATTTGGTCCGGAGCACTGCGGACAAACAAGGGCAGCATGGGACCACAGGAAGGGAATTGCAGGTAGTCCTCTTGTCACTTCCTCCTTCCTTGTTTCTCTGGTTTTTAGGGGGTTGGGGCAGGGAGATGGGGGGAGGGGGCGTTGCAGTTGGTTGAAAGGCTTTGTGCTTTCAGTTAAAAGCTATGTTATTTCACAGTTTCTTGCAAGTGTGAATACTCACATTCCTTGCCAGAATTAAACTCAGAGAGATGGATTCTGACCTTTTGCTGGTATTTAGATTGCATCAGTTGGAGTTGTTGTTTCTGCCTCACTTCAGCTTCTGATTGGCTTCCACCTAGAGGGGAGAAAAGGCAAGAAGGAGAAAAATGAATATTAAGCTGAAATGTCAGCCACCAGAGACTAATTAATACATGATCAGTCTACGCCATGATTTCCACCAGAGACTAATTAATACATGATCAGTCTATACCATGATTTTCTTTAACATATTTATGCTGCTAGAAATATAAACATAACCAGTCTTCTTAATAAGACATTAAAAGGTATAATTAGTTAAAAGAGAAAGAGTTGATGGAAAGATGAGGTCAAGTTTCTAATTAAAGAGAATGATCTTACTAAAGTTTTCACTTACATTGAAATCATACTTGAAGGGCCATGCTAACCGATAAGAAATAATACCTGACTTCTAGAAGGTAGAACCTTTCTCCTGCTTTCATAGGACTGTTCCTTAATGTACTAAGATGATCGATGGTGCTTAAATTGTGCTTCTTCTTTCACTCTACTGTGTTTGAGTTGCAAAACTTAGAATACCCTCAGGAATCTTATCATCGAACAAGTGTGTAGTCATTATAACCTAGTATTTTTAAAGCATAGTGAAAATTGTCGAGTTAGTAACTCACTATAAATCCATAATATTTCATGTTCTTTCTTTAGGTGTTCAAGAAAAAAACATGGATGTTAGATTGTTTGCTCTCTCTCTGGAACCTAAAATAATTTGGGACCAGAACTCCTCACAGCTTGACACACACACACACCAGAATCAGCAAGTCCCCAGTGCATACTTATCAGGTTCCACCCAGATTACACACAGTGGGAGTACAATCACGGATGTGTAAGGGTATGAGGTGGTGAATTTTCTAGTACACAGAGGATTGGTGGGAGTTAAGGATGGTTCCATCCCCCACTGTGTCCTGTGCCTCTCCACTGGAGATTTATCAAAACAACAAGAGGGCTGGAGGGGGACAGAAAATTAACAAAACCCAAAGCTAGAACTAGCTCCTGTTTTATCAAGCCTCCAACCTAACAGCTAACTTGTGTAGTTGCCAAGGTGTGTGGGTATTAGAGATGGTTCAACCCTTCTTCTGGCTATGCTGGTAATTTATTAAATCAAAAGAAAGACAGAAAAACAAAAATCCTAAGCAAGCCTCCAGCTATGCAGCTGGCATTTCCAGGAAATCAGACCTTCCATTGGAGTCGAGGGCCAGGGCTGAGTAGGAGATCACAGAATGCTGCTGCTGCCATACATATGAATATATGACCTATGCCTCCTTTGGGCAGCAGGGAGCTGTGAGGAACTTGGGATGGTTCAGTCTCCACTGTAGTTTGCCTCCTGTGCTGTGTGGCAGTCCCATTTGACCCACCCATCTTTTAGACTGGACTCCCAGCCCTAGGGATATGGAAGATCGTGTGAAACCAGACAACGGGTGCACTTGGTTGGGGCTGGTTACTCCTCCATTTATACAGCAGTGTGGGGGGGACAGGGGGGATTGACCTTCTTCTTTGTCTGTGCCAGAGATTGCTGTGAAGGGTGAGAGTTGCTGTTTAACTCATAATTGGTCAGCAGAGAACTCACTTGATCTCTTTAATGTGGGTTTCATTCTTTAATTTTCTCTGTTGGTGTTTGGCGTGCTTATCTTTCTTTCCTTGCAGATTCGGGCCTCAAGTTTTTCCTCTGTAGCTGTTTTTTTCCACATCTTTCTTACAGAAGGCCAGTGCAGCACACGTGAGGCTATCTGGGCTACCAGATTTGCTGGAAGTCCTCCATCAACTCTTGTGTAATAGTTATTCCTTATTCATTGTCCTACTTTTATATGCAGATAAGGCCATTAAAAATACCACAACTTGGGTCAGTTGTGCATTAGTCTTCAAAGCGCATCTTTTCCCAGTGATACTTTAAAGAAATCTTAAGCATCAGATATGCCAATGTAATGTTGTAATGATCTCTTAACTGCTGCTTCCATGAGTGTTCATTATGGATCCAAGAAAAGTGAAATCCTTGACAACTTCAATCTTTTCTCCATTTATTATGATGTTTGTATTAGTCCACTTGTGTCATTTTGATGTGATTTTTTTACAATGAGTTAGCACCCATCCTAAATATTGTACCCTTTGATCTTCATCAGCAAGTGCTTCAAATCCACCTCTTCAAGTAAGTAAGGTTTTGTCATCTGCATATTGTAGTTTAATAATAAGCTTTTATTTAGCCTTGATACCATGTTCTTCTCCATTTATTGCAGCTTCTCCAATTATTCATTTAGCATGTAAATTGAATAAGTATGGTAAAGTGATAGAATCATGATGCATACCTTTCTTGGTTGTAAACCATTCAATATCCCCTTCTATTTGAATGACTGCCTCTTAATCTATGTCTAGGTATCACAAAAGCACAATTAAAGTGTTCTGGAATTCCCATTCTTCACAATGCTATGGTCCTCACAATCAAATGTCTTGGCATAATCATTAAAACACAAGTAAACATTGTTCTGATATTCTTTGCTTTCAGCCAAGAGCCATCTGGTGTCAGTAATGAAATCCCTTGATCCATGTTCTTTTCTCAATCAGATTTTAATTTCTGCCAGCTCCCTGTCAATGTAGTACTACAAACTTTTTTTGAATGATCTTCAGAAATTTTTTACTTGCAGGGGATGATTTCCACATTGGTTGGTGACCTTTCTTTGGAATAGGCATAAATATGGATCTCTTCAAGTTGGCTGGTCAGATAGCTGTCTTCCAAATGTTTGGCACAGACTAGTGGGTACTTCCAGTGATGCATCTATTAGTGCAAACATTTCAGTTGGTATTCTGTCAATTCCTAGCATCTTGTTTTTCACCAATGCCTTCAGATCATTCGGGATTTTTTCCCTTTAGTACCACTTATTTTTATCACATGCTACTTCTTGAAATGGTTGAATTTCAACCAATTTTCTTTTTACCCAGTGACGGTTATCCATCCCATCCATATCCTTTTTTTAAAAATAGGTTTTTAAAAAAATTAGTTTTGCTGGCATATAACTCAAATATATAATTCAATGGTTTGAATATATTAAAATGTATGGATCAATCATCACCACAACCAATTTTAGAAAAGGTTGTTCATTTTTGTCCTTTTTAACAGTTTTATTGACATATAATTACATAATTCATGTATCATACAATTCAATGGTCCAAATATATGAAAAAGGGTTGCTCAACCATCATCACAATCAATGTTAGAATCCCTCCAATCTCCTTTTGATGCTGCCTGCATCATTCAATATTTGCCTAGAGAATCCTTCACTATTATATCTTGGGGCTTAGATTTTTCTTCAACTCTTTAATCTTCAGAAATGCTGAAAGTGTTCTTCCCTTTCCATTTTTTAACTCCAGGTCTGTGTATGTTTTATTACAGCATTTACTTTGCCTTACCCAGCTGCTCTTAAAAAACTTTTGTTCCATTCTTTCACGTTCTCATTGCTTCCATTTGCTTTTAGCTACTCCACATTTAAGAGCACACTTCAGAGTCTCTTCTGACATCCACTCTGGTCTTTTCTTTCCTGTCTTTTTAATGGGGTATATAAAGTGCTGGATCCTGTATATAATAGACACTCAGTAAATAAAAGAGATTATTATTACAATTTAAGCTCAATGAAGGAGTATCTGAGTTGTGCAATCAATAATCTTGGCTGATAACTAATGAGTTTGAAGTTTGAGTCTACCCAAAGAGGCCTCAGGGGAAAGACCTAGTGGGGTGTTTCCCAAACTGGAAAGCTCTGTGGAACACAGCTTGACCCTGACACGTATGAGCTCACCCACTGAGTGGTAAGCTCCATGAAAGCAGGAACTTTGTTGGGTTGGAAGTGCTCAATTTTTCAAAGAAAAGAAAAACAACTGCCCAAAGACAAAGATATCCTGTCTCTAAAGGGAAATATAGACCAGAGAGAGAGAGAGCGCTGTAAGCATACTCCAAGCTTGGAAAGCCAGGACCAGTGCACTATAAGGCCATTGCCTTACCTACTTCCCCTTCCTGAACTGGCTCTGAGGAGAGAGGAGACCTTAGGGAGAAAACTAGCCACACCCCCTTTCTTTTGCCAACTTCCTACCTTAAACAGGCCTGGGCTACAGCAATGGAGAAACCTTAAACAAACACCTCACTGCCATCAAGTTGATTCTGACTCACAAGGGTATATAGAATAAGATGAAACTACAAGATGAATTCCGAGGGGTAATTCTTTATGGAAATAGAAAGCCTAGTCTTTCTCCTATAATTAGTGGTTTCAAACTGCTGACCTTGCTGTGAGCAGCCCAATACAGAACCCACTACACCACCAGAGCTCCAACATGAGAAACATCATTAGTCTAACAGAGCTATCATCTGTATGTAGGAAATATGTTACACAATTGCTGAATTACAGATGCATACCCCAAATGCCTTGGGCCACTTTACTAATTGAGAAAAACAAAATAGATGAAGGAAGGTTCTGCTCTGAAGTCACCCAAAGACCAAAGGAGAAACTCGGCCCATAGAGCCCAATTGAAGAGAGCAGTTAAGCAAGAAAAAATCGGTCAGGATGAGCCAGCTGATTTGACATAACAAGGGACCTTCAGATCAACCCTCTTGTGAGATACAGTGCAAAACAAAAATAAAACTATTACTTTGAAGAGGAAAGATCTAGGAGGCAAAGGGCATTTATAGAGGTCTAATATAAGCATGTACATATGTAAATATATTTATATGTGAGGATGGGGAAATAGATCTATGTGCATATATTTATAGGTTTAGCATATGGACATTGGGCCTCCACTCAAATTCTCCCTCAATGCAAGAATACTTTCTTCTATTAAACTGGCATTCTATGATGCTCACCTTCACAACACAATTGCTAAAGACAAAGTAATGCATAAGGAAATGTGGTGAAGAAAGCTGATGGTACCTGGCTGTCAAAAGATATAGCATCTGGGGTATTAAAGGCTTGAAGATAAACACATGGCCATCTAGCTGAGAAGCAACAAAGCCCACATGGAAGAAGCACACCAGCCTGTGTGA